AGGAGTCTCCCCCTGCTGGTTCTTACCAAGACTTCGCTTTTCAGTACTTGACATTTTTTTAAAGATATGATGATCGTGATTTTTCCCCAGGATGTTGTGACAGCGGTCTGTCTCGAATAAATGACAATGAAAGTGTTTAAGGCTGCGTCTACACTAATCCGGATAAATTTGAAAACGGTGTTTTCGTCTAAGAACGCTCCACGTCCACACTATCGTTTTCAATCCTTTTCATCCACACTGGAAATCTTCCTGTGTACACGTGAAACGTAGGACGATTCGACCTTTTCTTTCCTGCTCTTTGAAAAGTTGCGATGAAATGTCGAGGAAAAGCATCGACTGTTATCTGTAGCTATCTGGAGCACTTACAAACTGATATTAATCTTTATTAGGGCCGTCACAATTGAGAGCAAACGAAACTGCTGCTGTACAGTACGTCTGCCGTCTTAGTTGAATTGGTCACATGACTGCATCACATGGCTAAAATGCGTCATCGTTTCCGAAAGGCTCCGTTCTTGCCGTCCACACTGCGACGCCAAAACAGCGTTTTCAAATGCATCCGCTTTGGAGAGCGTTTTCAAAACGCCGTCTGAGTGTGGATGGAAAGCCAAAACGGAGAGAAAAAGATGTTTTCAAATGAAAACGTATTAGTGTGGAAATCACAGCTGACTGTGTGAATGCAAATGAAGGTGCGACACAGCTGACTGTGAATCACAAAAGCAATCGCAGATCTGCTCCTGAGCCGCTGCACGTTTATCAAATCTGCAGATCTGCGAGGTCAGATGGATTTTACACAGACTGAGACCCGGAGATGAAATTTAAAGTGAAACAAACAGCAGCTGCGGGGGAGAAATTTCCCCAAGAGCTCCCGGAGGCAGATATCGGCGAGCGTTGGTCCTCTCGCTGCTAGCTGCCAGTTCAGAGTTCGGTATTAAGGAGCCGTTATTCGGTCAGCACTCTGGAAAACAAATACCTGGCAGCGTTTGTCTTCACAGGCCTGCTGACTCAGAGAATAACAGGAAAGCTTCCTCACGTGTGCACTTCACTTTTCATTTGTTTCAGTTATCGCTTCACACAGATGAGCATCTGCAGGCCGGCACTCATTTAATCTTAATTAAAGCTGCATCACGTGAGGGGCTGGTCGGCCCGATGAGGTCGAGCTGCAGCTCTGAGTCTGATGAATCTGCGAACATGTGAAGTTGAAACGTGCAGAGCGTCACACGCGGTAGAAACACGTTTCCAGCTCGTTTCATCATCCCGAGCACAAATAAAGACGCTCCGTTGGCTAACGTCAGACGTCTGTGTGTGTGTTACTCTGCACAGCTTAATTAATAAACACGCCTCTTTATTAGGAACAGATGCCACAAACAGCTGCTTCACAGTTTATAATAAACAAACCTCTGCATGTGACGACTTTCTGAAGGATAGCTCATTAAACCCGGCAAACATCGGAATCTCTGGAAGTTCACAGTCCAGCAGAATCAGCCCACAGTCACACTGTGGGGAGCGTGGTTGTCGCCGTGGTAACGATCGATTTGAAGATGGCGACCCGGTCTGAGACCACTTGCGGTCAACTGCTGTCTTCAAAGTGACTTGGATTCCCCAAGATGGCGACAAAACAGCGATAAGATCCATCAGTGACTGAACGGGTTGTTTACATGTTTGAAATAAATTACCAATCAATCAATCAATCAAAACGGGTCACGCTGTCCATCTGTGATGAGACGGCGAGTAACTGTGACGTTAACATGAACTACTACATAGAAGCAGGATACACAGACAGCACAGGCAAACCTTCACCAGTCTGAGAGCGACTGGAGTCCATGTCGGACCCTCTGGGTGACCAGTTAGTCCAACAGTCGGTCACTGAAAGCAGGAAAGATCAACGTGCTGATGGACTGTCCTGCTCCCTGACTGAGCCAATACTAACACTCATCGTCAAGAGTGAGAGAGTTTGGGAGTTTTAGACGTTGATCGCATCAGGAGCCACGCCGACAGGAAGCAGATGTTCCTCCAGCGGTGAGACGCTCAGCTGTGGGTTTAACAGCCTAAATCTATCAGCAGGTTATGGAAAAACACTTTTACTGAACACGTCAGGGATCTGTGGCAGTTTGTTGGTGACTTTCATGAAATCATGAAAACTTTTGCTTTCAATTATGTGTCGCTGTGAATTATGGGAGGTAGAGGAGGAACTGAAGCATGGGTGCCACGAGACGTCAGCTTCCTGCGTCGGGCTCTGACCTCCCTGCTTTGTGTTTATGGAGTTCAGCTGTGTCTCATTCCCCACCGTGTCCGGTTTCCCATCGGCCCTCAGTGTGTGTGTGTGTGTGTGTGTGTGTGTGCGTGTGTGTCTGTGTGTGTGTGTGTGCGTGCGTGCGTGCGTGCGTGTGTGTGTGTGTGCGTGTGTCTGTGTGTGTGTGCGTGTGTGTGTGTGTGTCTGTGTGTGTGTGTGTGTGTGTGTGTGTGTGCGTGTGTGTGCATCTGTGTGTGTGCGTCTGTGTGTGTGTGCGTGTCTGTGTGTGTGCGCGTGTGTGTGTGTGCGTCTGTGTGTGTGTGTGTCTGTGTGTGTGCGCGTGTGTGTGTGTGTGTCTGTGTGTGTGCGTGTGTGTGTGTGTGTGTGTCTGTGTGTGTGTCTGTGTGTGTGCGCGTATGTGTGTCTGTGTGTGTGTGTGTGTGCGCGTGTGTGCGTGCGTGTGTGTGTGTGTGTGTGTGTCTGTGTGTGTGTGCGTGTGTCTGTGTGTGTGTGTGTGCGTGTGTGTGTGTGCGTGTGTGTGTGTGTGTGTGTGTGTGTGTCTGTGTGCGCGTGTGTGTGTGTCTGTGTGTGTCTGTGTGTGTGTGTGTGTGTGTGTGTGTGTGTGTGCGTGTGTGTGTGTGTGTGTGTGTGTGTGTGTGTGTGTGAGCACAGTGCTGTTTCTGGGACTTTAGTTTGGAAGCTCGTTACTGGTTTAAACTCTGCAGTCCACACAGTGAGCAGTGATCCTGCTGCTAATCAGGGCCGACACGACAGGAAGCTCCGGCGATCGATACTCGCTGGATTATTCACTAATCTGCAGATAACACACACACACACACACTGAGCTAATTTTATGGTCTGCTTGATAAATTTAATCCGGTTCACAGGAGTAAGTGATCCCAATGCTCCTCACAGAGTATCTGAATCACTGTTTCAGGTTTTAATATTTTTGCTAATGAGTTCGTCTCTTTACTTGAAACTATTTTTAGAGGCTGTTTAAATGTTTCTCTGTTGGAACAGAGGAATTAGCAGCTTTGGGATGCAGTTTTTCTCAGATGCTGCTCATTAGTACAGAAGTCTCACTTGTGTTTGCTGAAAGCAGCGCGCTGACTCAGTGTTAAAGTTGGATGAATGAGAGAGTTTCTTAGCGATGCACAGAGAGCCGAGCGTGGAGGAAACCCGAAAACAAACGGAGCACCTCTGCAACGAGGAGCAGCGTCTCATTTCTCAGGTTTCTAATCTTTAAGGAGGTTTGATCTTCATCACCAAAAGATTCAGCTGGTTACAAACATCATGAGAGCAGCCATGTCCGACAGCGAGAGCAGCACGCCAGCCTCAGGCCAGGATTCAGTCAGCAGCAGCCAGTGGGCGGGGCCAGCTGTTGGTGCCGGCTCCACACAGACCTGAAACAGAAGTATCTCTGCCCCCAAAACACCTCTCAGACTCGGGGGCCCAGGACCAGAAACCTGCTCCTGCTGAAGGTGGAGGCAACATACACCACCAGGCTACAGAGGAGGAGGTGCTTGCAGCAAATGATCCCGTTGAGCGTCACTAATTGCACGTCATGTGACAGGAAGAGGAAGTGTATGGATCAAGGATAAAGTGAGTGTTAAGCTGCAGACGCTCACACTAACGTCTGCTGTGTGGCTCCTGCACTGTAACGCTGCTGCCGGCACCTCGTGGTTGGACACAGGCAGGACCAGGAACAGCAGCTCACTGCAACACCACCCGCAAGCTCCCAGCATCAGTCACACATTCAGGATTTGTTCTATATCAGTTTCTATATATTTCCTAAATATAGTGACACGACTCTGACATCCTGCAGACCTCTCTGCTCACAGCACTGAGAGGCTTCTCATTCCCGCTGATTGCTGTATTCCCTTTGAAGCCAGGAGGCTGTGGGAGATTAAGCCTGAGAGGAGGCGGCTGTGCAGATGAAGAGGGCGAGTTCTGCTCGGGTGACACCGGACGACCGCTGTGCCGTTCATTTCATCCGAAGGCCGTTCAAAAGCCAGCGCAGATCGATGACCCGGGCTCCATCCATGTAGAAACATTGGGAAACTGTTTGGTGTTAAAGACGCTCCCCGTCAGCGCCGCGTCCTTTAATAATCCGCTAAAAAACGCAGAGCATAAATGTCAGGACGCATCCTAACCGGTGGGCTGTGAAGAGCCATCAGATGGCTGCAAATGTCAGCGAGATTATTCAGAGAGCAATCAGCGGCGCCACGCGCTCTAATGAACTCCGCTCCAGCTCCTCTGACTCAACAGTTTGTTCGGCTTCTTCAGTGTTTGCAGGACGAGTGTCTGACGGCGCCTCCAGCACACGGTTAGTAAAAGCAGGGTCGAGTGTGTCGCGAGCCCAGAGAAACCAACCTGCTGCAGGCCACAACAGTCCACAGTTGTCTGAGCACGCCGTTTCCAGGCGACAGGTGGTAGGAGCCCATTGGTCAGGTTCGGCATGTTTTACCTTTGTTGGATTTTTAGGCTAAACTACACCTGAGTCTGTGTGAGGAGTCAGAAAGCAACCTGGAATCTCCGAAACTGCTTCTGACGAGCGAAACCTTCATCCTGCAGCCCAAAGAGACGACCTCAGCGTCACGCCAAACGCCCGCCCTAACGGCAGCAAATGAACCTTCGTGAGTTTCACGCCCTCATCACAACACCGCTCTGATTGGACGCCTGTCTTAAATGCAGAAGGAGTAAAAACAACGCTTTAATCCCACCCCTGACCCCCACCTTACAGCTTATTACGAGCTCGTGCAGACCTTACCCGCCTCTCTGGAGAGCTGCATGAAGGCATCCACGCCCTTCTCGCCGTAACTGCCCTCTGACGCCACCGTGGAGACGTAGTTCCAGCCCATGGTCTTGACGATGTCCACCATGGCCTGAGCCTGGAAGCTGTCCGGAGGGACCACCCGAGAGAAGAAGTCGTACCGCCGGTCGTCGCTCAGCTCTGGCGCCGTGGAGGCGTAGCTGATCTGAGGGATCTGCAGGAGGAGAGTGGAAGGAAACAGGGGATGTTAGGAGGGGAGCGTGGAGGTGACGCAGAAGGATTCTTCGGGAATGACTGGACAGGTGATTATTATAAACATCTGTATGATGGCGAGATGAGTCTGCAGCATGAACCAAAACAACACGAGCGCACGCTGAACATAAAAACAGGCCAGATGTTCACGTGTCATCTCGAAAAACGACTTCATGTAAGCTTCAACCTGACGCCGTCATGTGATCACTTATGGCGTGAGCTTTTCCTGTTGCTCTGATGATAAGATGGTGTGACCGTGTTTGACTGTTCCCTTATAAATAATTACATATATGTGTATTTATCTGCTGGTAAATTATAAAGTAAATTCATGCTTTTCTTAACATTTTATGGTGTATATGTCACATTGTGATAATTATATATATGTAAATAAGAGTTATAAAACCACTTTTACCACATTTTATTACTGTTACAATATTCAAAGCTTTTATTAACATGTTTAGATGTTTTCACGAGCTTTTAGGACCTTCTGCTGCTCGGCTGTTCATCAGCCTGAGCTGCAGGTTAACGAGGTCTCATTAATATTAACGCTGATTGGTTCTGTTGTTCAGCCGCTAATAAAAACTGGAGTTATTGATCGTTTTTGTACTGAAGAAGTCTGAACAGGAGTTGTGAACATGAGGTGCTGAGGTGAGCAGAACGAGGCGCTGAACACGTTTGTTTTACGGCTCAAATGGATTGGATTGCATTTATATAGCACTTTACAATGCCACTATTCATTCACTCTCACATTCACACACTGGTGGAGGCAGCTACAGGTGTAGCCACAGCTGCCCTGGGGCAGACTGACAGAAGCCAGGCTGCCGTATCACGCCATCGGCCCCTCTGGCCAACACCAGTAGGCAGTAGGTGAAGTGTCTTGCCCAAGGACACAACGACCAGGACAGAGAGCCCAGGGATCGAACCGGCGACCTTCCGGTTACAAGGCCCAGAATAAGACAAAGAAGGATTATTATGAAGTGTGAATCGCTTTGTATGGATCACATCAACATGACTGGACTTCCTGTGGACTTCCTCTTCGCCCCCTGCCGGCTTCAATAAAACTCGGCCAGCATTGATCTGAGACGGCGAGGTGAGCTGGGAGGCGAGGACGGTCCACGCCTCTGAGGCGAGGAGAGAGATGACGGGAGAGCTGAAGCATCGATCGGCAGCCCTGACAGGAAAACGAAACAGCCAATCAGAGGCAGCGATGATCCTACACGCTGGCATTCCCATCTGACATTAATGCGCCGTGACGACGGCAGAGGACTCGGATTTACTGACCTTCTGCTCGTCACTGATGTCTATTAATGAGCGCTTGTGTGGGAGGACGGCGCCGCTGCGAGCCTCCGTGTGAGACCTGAACCTCCAGGGGGTCAGAGGTCAAAACAAACAGGCGGCGGAGACCCCAGATGGAGGTTTCCATGAATGTATCAGAAGAAGAAGCTGAATTTGATCTTTGCCTCATATAAAAATAAGACATTTATGAGCATGTGAGATTTGTGAGCGCGCTCCGTCTGCACGCCGTCCGGCCCGTCCAGAGTTTCTAATTAAAAACGGGGCAGCGCTGAACATGAATTAGATCCATTAAACACTGTTTGAGTGTGAGAGCGTCACCATCTCCTCGCTGTTCTCACGTCTCTGACAGATTCCTTCACCCTCCATTATTACCCAGCGGGCCGCATCTGCTGCAGCGGCGGCTCTCTGAACTGAATCAGCACATTGGACGTGCTGGAGAGCGTCATCGTGCAGACGCAGAGGGATTTCTCTCTGAGCGGCGTGCTCATCCTCAGCAGATCAAACCGAATCTAAAATGATGTGTTTCATGTCAGCGTGTTCAGACTGACCATTTCAGCGTTTTATTCTGAGAGTCACACGCCGAGGATCTTCATCTCCTCCAGAGTCTCACATCTCTGCTGCTTGTAAAAGTAACTGAATCCTGTGTGAGCAGCTCGCCCTCGCCGTGGACGTGCAGACAGCTGTCAGTGGATCAGTGCGATGCTCCGGGAAGCCCTGCACCGATCCTCAGCACATCACTCGTCAACAAAATAAAACCACACACACAACAACAGCTGGCACCAACGCAGTCGTCAAATCAGCAAGCCCGACTCGTTAGGTTTCTGTCATGGTGCGGGGCGGAGCCGCTGCATCTCCTCGTAGTGGCGACGCCTGTGAGTAATCAGCGGTCACAGTCGTTGAGATCGTCGGCTCACCACAGCGAAGGCCGTCATGGTCAAAGTGTTTTAGTCACTGCTGCACTGGTGTCGGCCATGTTTCTCTCTGCTCACAGTAACACTTTGAACATTTGTTAGTTTTGTCGGTTTCCCCTCTGATCAGTCTGTACGGTTTTTGTCATCTTGACCAAAAGCCAATGATTAAAGACTAAAACTGTGTTGTTGGAAAGTTCCTCAGCAGAGTCCCTGCATGACAAACACACCACATCACTCAAATCCTTCTGTGACTGACAGAAAAATCCTCTGCAGCCTCTCGGCAAACAGAGAAGGGCCTCAAATAAACTGAGACCCGGAACAAACACAGGAAGTCAAAAGCTCGCGACGCGCTAATGAACAGAGCTGCTGTATTTCAGGCTAAAACCAGGCGACATGTTTCCCTGAGCTGCAGCAGCGAGATAACACAGTCCTCACTCACAGGTCTCAACAGGATGTGCCGTGCCTGTGATAACAGCACATTTAGAGGGTAAAACAGATGATATTCTCCCTGAAAATAAAACAATCCATCCTTCTGAATTGGGCCCAGCAGGCTCCTGTAGCCAGCCGTTTGTGTTTTAAAGACTGTGGCTGAAGGATATGATCTTTACTTAAGGCCCAGAGCGGCGACGCTGGAACCCCGTCGAGGGTCTCAGAGATAATTTGATCTGACGGCTAATTTCCACGAATCACTGGGAACATCTCGTATCCACTCAAAATCCAGCTGACGATAAAAATGCCTCTGCTTTCTCCACTACATGATTCCACTTCCTGTTCACATTTCATTTCAATGTTATTTACACAGCGCCAAATCACAACAACAGTCGCCTCAGGGTGCTTTATATTGTAAGGTCGACCCTGCAATAACACATACAGAGAAAAACCCAACAATCATATGACCCCCTATGAGCAGCACTTTGGCGACAGCGGGAAGGAAAAACTCCCTTTTAACAGGAAGAAACCTCCGGCAGAACCAGGCTCAGGGAGGGGCGGGGCCATCTGCTGTGATTGGTTGGTGTGAGAGAAGGAAGACAGGATAAAGACATGCTGTGGAAGAGAGACAGAGATTAATAACAGATATGATTCAATGCAGAGAGGTCTGTTAATACATAGTGAGTGAAGAAGAAACACCCAATGCATTATGGGAATCCCCCGGCAGCCTACGTCTATTGCAGCATAACTAAGGGAGGAGTCAGGGTCACCTGGTCCAGCCCTAACTATATGCTTTAGCAAAAAGGAAAGTTTGAAGCCTAATCTTGAAAGCAGAGAGGAAGAACAGCTGCAGCCATGTTGGTCACAGCTCAGTTATTTCAGTATCAAAGAGCTGTTACTGTGCTGAGGGGCTGTCAGTGTCACGCAGTCCCTGGAAGTTTGCCTTTAAATCCCTGTAAACAGTTGCTTACAGCACACTGCAGCATAGCAACATAATCCTAAAACACAGCTGCTAAATCCACCGACCTTTGACCTCTGATGAAATGAGAAAGCCAGTCTACTTCCAGGGTTTAGCTTTCTTTATTCAGTCTCAGACCTTTAATGCAGACGCGTCCATGTTTGTGCTCATAGCTGTCTGACATGCAATGACACAAACACACGACAAACACACGTAACACAACACAAGACATAAAATTTACAAAGAGCAGAGCGAGGAGGACAACAAAAAGACCTCCAGGTCTATAATTGCTGAGCACCAGGTCACCATAGTGGTATATACAAAAGGTAGCCCCTCCCCTAATCAGCTAACGTAGATTTTAAGAGGCTAACTGTAAGAACTGCGGCCAATCAGACCCTATATATTTTGACTTTTCAAAATAAAAGTCCCTCCTTCTGTTTTCTCTGCACAAACTTGGGTTAACTACACGTCTGCTGCAAAGACAGTTATTTCCATGTCACTTCACATCTCTTCTTATCCGTCGCTCTACCCGAGGCGTATGAGGCCCGTGCACACGTTCGTGCACACGTTCGTGCACACGTATCATATGTGGGAGGAGAGGCGGTGCAGTCGCCCCTCTGTGAGTGAATCAGAGGTGGAGAACGAGAAACGCTGCCTCCTAATCACACTTAATTACAATGACCCTGCTCGCCTACGGTGCAGCAATCACAGATTTCATTACAGCCGCTCATTTTGTGCGATCAGGCAACACACACACACACACACACACGGGACTGTGCACGCATTCATCAACACACTGTTTCTTCCAGCCTGCTGACGGACGGCTAAATGAAGCAGAAACAACGAGCTGCAGAACACTTTCACTTCCTGACTCACTGTGTGTGTCTGTGTGTGAGCACTGTTATTATCACTTTATTTGTAAACCATCAGCATTCAGCTTGACTGTGATTCACCTCCAGCAGGAGTCTGACAGACCGACTGACTCAGCCTCCATCCCTTCATCCTCCTCTTCCTCTCCCTCCTCTAATCTTCCTCGCCCCTCTCTGTTTCTTGCCGGTTCTCCGCCTGCTGGCTTTTTTAAGTCCTCATCAGCGAGGATCTAATTTGGCGCCATAAAAACGTGGATGAAAGTGGAGCAGCGAGTGAAGGCGCTGACATTTCTCTGATTAAGTAGGCCGGCGAGGTGGAAGCGGGGTACCTGCGCCACACGGTTTATGAGCCTCGTCCTACAGACCAGAGAGTGCGTTTGAAACCGTTTAACACCGCGCTGTGTGTGCCGCCGTTATCACACCAACCCAAGCTAATGTTAGACCAAAACGAGACACAAAGACACACAACAGGACTGCAAAGAGACAACAGCTAAGGTCA